GCCATACTGTGAGAATATAACTTAAATGGGATACACAGGAATGAGAAAACAGCAGAGGAAATAGAGGAGGTGCTGTTTTCCTCAGCCAGCCTTAGGGTGGCTCCAAAGTCACTTAAAAAACCCAAAATCTTTATCCTGGAATGTAAAGACACCAGCGTGGCTCCCACACAGAGCAGCAGAGGTGGCCCAGCAGGATCAAGTGCTGCCATTGCAGGTCAAGGAAAGGTGCAGGATGTTTATGGTTTGATGGATCCCTTCCATGTGTGACAGCCTGGGAAAGGATGTAGGGGCAGCTGAATTAAACCAGGTGCTGAACATCAGTGTGACTCCTGAGCTGCTTTCATCACTAAATTAAATTTAAAAAAATACATTGCTTTCTCCATTGTGGAGGGAGCAGGAGCTCCAGATGGATTCCAGCCACACCTCAGGAGGGCAAAGCTTTAAATGTTGCTTAAATCCTGCCAAGGGGCTGTGACAGGGTGTGTAAATCCGAGATCCAACAAAGGAAAATCTCCAGGAAACACTGCACTCCCTTTCTCACTCCTGAGGGGCACCACATCCACATCTCACACTGGGGCAGTGTGGATGGGCTTAGCAGCTGCTCTGCAGGGCAAACTACTGAGCTAACAACAATAAATATATAAAATACAAGTTCATCCATAGCAAGGAAGAAGGCAAGGCCATTAGCACAGAAACTGATAAAAATAAACACATAAGGGACATTTTCAGTTAGAGGATCTGTGCCTGAATAATTTGTTGTAAACTTTTGCCAATGTTGTATTGGTTAGAGCTGTTTGTTAGGAAAATTAATCCACAAACACCAAAAAGGAGACAGAGGAGTCCTTTGGCTTTATTCCAATAAAGGGAGAAGCCATGGGGCACTCCCCTGAGATCTCACATTTTTGGAGGATGCAGCCTCCTGTTTATCCCAATATCCCAGCTGCATTTCCCTTCTCTCATTCCCCGTTTCTGAGGTACTTGAGAAGTTCAAACTTCCCAAAACACCTGATACCAAAGATTTCCCGAAGATTTCCCTCTAATGTACAACCCCCCCTTTTAAATTTTAATTCATACAAAATTTAGGGGCTCTTCTTCCCCATTATTTCTTTCATCTTTCAATGTCTAATATCATTTACCAGCAAACCTAAAATTTATTTGTAAAAGCAAATGTCTTTTCCCATTTATCAATCAGTGGAATCCTTCCCATTGTTTATCTCCCAGTGCTGGTTTTATCTACCAGCAGACCCACAGCTTGCTTGTAAAGACAAATCCACTCTTCCACTCATGTTGAACCATTACACTGAGAATGCAAAATCCAAAATTATTGAGCTTTTTGTCCTGCTACCTTTAGTGTCTGAGCAGTCAGGGGTGGCGCTCAGTTTTGGATCCTGTCAGACAAAAAGATTATGATGGTAAACACTTTGGTGAGCTAGGTTTTTGACAAATATTTTCAAGTTCATAGCATCACTCAGCAAGAATGAAAAAATTTATGAGCATGTGAAAAATGTGTATTATATGATTGGCTTTTTGCAAATATTAAAATAAATACTATATGTGTCATGTTAGAAAGTTATGCTGTATTAATCCTCTTAAGTACTGTGTTAAATATAGTTTTAGGTTATAACATAATATTAAAATAGAAACTGTGCTATGTAAGATACTTTTTTTAACTAGCTCAAGAAAGGGATGAGATCATCAAGAAATTCTTTGCACAGAGATAACAGCAACAAGACACTGAGATCCCAGAGATAAAAATCATTACCTTCTTATTGTGAAGAATCAGTCCTTGCAGACTCCATGGAGTCTGACCATGATTTACAAGATGAAGGGGGGAAGTTGACAATCACCAGAGAACACCCTTTGTTTGGAAAGAATTTTTGAATCATGTATGAGATGAATGAATATGCAGCAGGCTGTTGCTTTTAAGAGTTAATCCTTTGTTAGCAAGCCATAGTTTTCAGGAGGAAAGCATCCCAACATTCCTAATTCTTTGCTTTTATTGTCCTAACTCTGATTGTCCAAATTCTTATTGCTCTAATTTCTATTACATTTTTATAACCATTTTATCACTATTGAACTTTTAAAATTTTAAACCAAGCAATTTTTCACAAGCAGAAATAAGTTTGTGTTGCCATTTGAATGTGGTGCATAGAAAGAATTTGCACTTGGAAGGGGAATATCAGTGAAATATTTTTGTTCTGGCAGAACAGATTTGAGAGCATCTTGGCTGTGCCCTGGGGTGTTTCTGGGCTGGGCTGGGAGCTCAGCTCGGGCGGCAGCGGCACCGTGTGGTTGCTGTGATGAGCTCTGGCAGTGCCCAGGAAAGGGGAAGAGCTCTCCTGGCCCTGCCCCATTCCTGTGGGGGAGCAGCTCTGCTGTGGGTCCTGGATCTTGGGCACTGCCAGGGTGGGATGGGGCTCTATCTTGGTTTGGAAAGCCAGGTGTCTGCTAAGGAAGGCAGGAGCCTCCCCTGAAATGGAGAATTTAAACCCCCCTCCCTCTGAAATGCTATAAATTTTAAATTAAGGGGCTCTCAGGTAAAAATATGGGAGCAGGAATAACAGTTCTTTACTAGGGAAGAAAATAAAAGGATAAAATAATCAATGCAGTACACTAGAACAACACTGACAGAGTCAGAACCCAACCTGACACCCTGTGGGTCAGGCTGTTGGCAGCAGTCCCATTGGAATTGTGGCTCAGCCCTCCTGCAGGGTCAGGGCTGGTTCTGCTGGAGCAGGGATCCTGGAGAAAGGTGCAGTCTCTGCCTCTGAAGATCCAGGGGAAGAAGAGGCAGCTGCTGTTCCTCTGGGCAATCCAGTGGAGAAGCTGTGCTGGTGTTCCAGAATCTCCAGATTATATCCGGGTAGGAATGCTTGGCTCCTCCCTCTGGGCTCACATCTCCCAATGGGATGCTGTATTTCTTATCAGCCAGGCAGGGACATTCAATGGCTGTTATCAGCAGATGTCCCCTCAGAGGGAGGAGTGGGTGTGGAAGAGATAAGGCAAACTGCCCACTGAGCAGAAACCAGCTGCAATTCAACTGCAATCACTTTCACACAGAGTTCAGGCAGCTGTGTCCCACAGAGAAATGTCAGGACTGCTGGAACCCGGAGAATTTCAGACTTTCTGTGCTGTTAAAAGAGTGGTGCCAGATAAGCCCAGAGAAGTCTGTCTGTCCTTGGAGATGCAGAGGGGATGTCAGTCTGTGTGTCCATCCTGGGGGATGCAGAGGGAACAGCTGTCTGTCTGTCCATCCCAGGGGATGTCTGTCTATCAGTCTGTGTGTCCATCCCGGGGGATGCAGAGGGGATGTCTGTCTGTGTGTCCATCCCAGGGGATGCAGAGGGAGTGTCAGTCTGTGTGTGCATCCCAGGGGATGCAGGCAGGGGTATCTATCTCTCTGTCAGTCCCAGGAGTTGCAAGGAGGGATGTCTTTCTGTCCGTACCCCTCCATGGGCTGGCGCTGTGCGGGCACGGGGCGGGGATCTTTGTCGATTCATCTGTCGCGCTTTCTGTCCGTCCGTCTGTCGTTCTGTCTATCGGCCTGTCCTACCGTCCATCCGCCTATCGCTGTCCGTCTATCGGGGGGCGTGTCCCGCTGTCCCAGCCGGGGCGGCGAGGATTGGCTGGAGGAGCTGTCGCTCAGAATGCGGTCACGCCTCCTCACCGAAGGCACACCTGCGCCAGCTGATTGGCTCGCTCATCTGTCAATCACCACCCACCTCCTCTTGTGACTGGCTGGCAGCCCTTGAGCCCGCCCCTCCACACTCCGATCTCTAATCTACCCAGCGACAGCTTCTGATTGGCGGGAAGCGCCGGAGCGATTTTTTGATTGGCTGAGGCCATAGGGGGCCCGCCTGACCCATTCACAAAGGGTGGGCGGGGTCGGGGGCCGGGGGTCCCGGGTCGGGGACAGCGCTGTGACCTCCGGGGGCGGACAGGGCACAGCGGGGATGAGGAGCGGCACAGCACCGTGCCCGAGCCAGGCTGAGTCCCCACGCCCGGCCCTGAGGAATTATTTAATTTTTAAATAATTTTTAATTATTTTTAAATCATTTAAATTAATTTAATAATTAAATAATTTAATTTTTAATTATTTAAATCTTTCTTTCTTTAATGTCGTTTCTTTTCCTTCCTTCTCTACCTCTGCCAAGGTCAGGATTGAGATGGAATTTCATGTTCAGGCTAAAACCTCCATCTTGCTTTATATCTATCGCTATATTCCAAAATTTTCAACTCTAAGTTTTACACCCTGTGATATCACACACTTCTATTCAAACTCCACACCCAATCCCAGATAGAACAATCCCAGTTCTATCAATCAATTTTGGAAGCTTCTCCACAGCCTCAGGTCAATGCAGTGTTCTCCTGGGGGTTAGTGCCTGTCAGCACAGAAAGTCTGGAATTCTCAGCATCCAGAACTCCCAACATCTCCCCAAAGGAGAAAAGGCCATGAACAGGCAATTTAGGTGATTTGGTTCTACCTGCAGGGCAGGTGTTGGATCCCACTCCTAAGGGCAGCACCTGAGCCAATTTGTTCCCTTTAAACAGCTCTGGAAGAGGAGTCAGGAATTCTCCCAGGAGTTCCAGGAGAGAACTGGGCTATGCTAAAACTGAGGTTATCCAAAAACTGATTTTCCAGAATTGCTTCCCCTCCTGAATCCATCTGAAAGTGGCAAAAGAGGGGAAAACCAGCAGGAGAGGGATTCTTCCTTCTGGAAAAGGCAGAGCTGGAGGTGGGGGGAGATTTTGTAAAACACATTTCCTCATTTCCACCATTCCTATTTCCTAGGGGAACCCCTGTCCCAGCTCTTCTCAGCTCTTCCACACCAGCCACTCCTGCTTGGTTCAGGGTGATACCCTGATTTATCCTGAAATTGTAATTTTAAATTGTAATTTATCCTGGAATTTGATTTCCAGCCCTCTGCCCTGCTCAGAGCCAGCTGCCAGGATTGAGGCAGAGCTGGCTTTCCCCACAACCATGATTTTATAGGAAAATACTCTTTTAATCTGAATTTATTCCCTTATCAGACCCAGCTTTGATTCCCAGACCCTGCTTTGAGGACACACAGAGAGATTTTTGCTGGAGAATAAAAAACCTAAGTGGGATAAGCAGGAATTTTCTGGTGTAAGATAGAGTTAACTCAAACCCCAGTGGTACCTGCAGGATTTCAGTGGTGAGGGGTTATCTCAGCCCATGATTCCTGTTTCTGCTTGGGGGGCTCTGATCAGTTGTTCTGGATTTTTTTCAAACACAAACCCCAAGGCTGAGCGTAGATTTCTTTGCAGGGAAGCAGATGGAGCTCCAGGGACTCTTTTACAGATAAAAAACACTGGAGAAAGAGGGAGGAATGCACTGAACAGATTTAAAACTCTCTATTTTTTTAAAATAAGTGAGGAATGACACCTGCATTTCCCCATGGACAGCACCACAAGAGGGAGACTCACTCCTGCAGCAAGCCTGGCAGTGCCCTTGGCACAGCTGCTGTCCCAATCCACCACCCCCAGTTTGGGCTCCAAATCCCTCCCTTCCCACCTTTCCCCCCCTTGCTGAGGAGCCCAGTGAGAGTAACAAAATGATTTATTTCATTCCCTCCTGGGGCAAAGCTCAGTTCTGTCCAGAAAAGGTAAAAAAACCTCTGGAGTTGGCAGAGCAGCAGATGCAGGTGCTGTGGGGAGGGAAATCCCAGGAGCTGGGTGAGCTGCACCAGGTCCTTTGGTCAGGGCAGGGCTTTGAGCTTTTGGGGGGTTTCTCCCTCTTTTTCAAATATCCTTGATGACCTCCTCCAGCTCCTCCTTTGTGTACATGTGGAATTTCATGCCAGGCTCCACCGTGGCAAGCTGCAAGAGAAGGAACAAGGGGTTAAATGTGGCAGAGGAGAGCAGGGAGCAGCTGTTCCTTGTGCTGATCTGCCAGGCCAGCAGGATCATTCCAGCTCCATGGTGCCCTAAAATAGCTGCCTGCTGCACAAATAGCTTTGCATTGACTCAGCCTCCTCAAGAGGAGCAGCAGCAGGGAATTTTAGTGGGAACAGCTCCCACTCCATGGGGGAAAAACCTGCAAAAACCTCCCAGGAGAGAATTCCTGCCCCTGTAAAGGATTCTGCTCCACTAGGAAAATAGGGCACAAATTCTGTCTGTGATGAAACTGAGGCAGAGATCCCAAAGGAAAAGAGGGACAGCACAGAGTCAGAGTCAGAAAAGCCATCAAACCCCTCCAGGAGAGAATTTCTGCCTCTGCAAAGGATTCTGCTCCCTCAGGAACCAAGGGGACAAATCCTGGCCTGTGTGGGAGCTGAGGGGACTCAGAAAAACTGGGGAAACTGAGGCAGAGAAACTGAGGGAGGGATCTCTAAGGAAAAGAGGGACAGCACAGAGTCAGAGTCAGAAAAGCCATCAAACCCCTCCAGGAGAGAATTCCTGCCTCTGCAAAGGATTCTGCTCCTCCAGAAACCAAGGGGACAAATCCTGTCTAGGAGCTGAGGGAACTCAGGGAAACTGAGGCAGGGATCTCTAAGGAAAAGAGGGACAGCACAGAGTCAGGAAAAGCCATCAAGGAGGGAATTCCTTTCTCTCCAAAGGATTCTGCTTCTCCAGGAACCAATCCTGGCCTGTCTGGGAGCTGAGGGGGCTCAGAAAAACTGGGAAACTGAGGCAGAGATCTCTAAGGAAAAGAGGGACAGCTCAGAGTCAGGAAAAGCCATCAAAAACATTCCAGAGAGAATTCCTTCCTCTGCAAAGGAGTCTGCTCCTCCAGGAACCAGAGAGACAAATGTTTCTCTAAGGAAAAGAGGAACAGCACAGAGTCAGAGTCAGGAAAAGCCATCAAAAACCTCCCAGGAGAGAATTCCTGCCTCTGCAAAGGATTCTGCTCCTCCAGGAGCCAAGAGGACAAATCCTGACCTGTGTGGGAGCTGAGGGGGTTCAGAAAAGCTGGGAAACTGAGGCAGAGAAACTGAGGGAGGGGTCTCTAAGGAAAACAAAGGCAGCACAGAGTCAGGGCAGACAGAAACATTCCAGAGGCAGCACCAGGGATGAGTGACAGTTGAATGAAAGCCTGAAGGAGAAACACGAGCAGAAATATTCACAGCTGGCTCAGGGATGGGAGCCCAAAGCAGGCACAGCTGTGCCAGTGGAAATGCCAGGGCTCCAGAGAGAGCTGGGATGGCATAGAATGAGCTGGGATATCCCATAATAGGCTGGGATGGGGCAGGACAGTGTGGTGGTGTTTGCAGAGGTCCCAGGATGAGGGAAGAGATGAGAATCTTGACTCCATGTTTCAGAAGGCTGATTTATTATTTTATTATATATATATATATCATATTAAATATAATATAATATATACAATAAAATAATAAATATAGTATATTAAATAAATATAGTATATTAATTAATTAAATAATATAAAATAAAATTATTATATAAAATAATATCTAAACATAATACATATAATAATATACCATTTTCTTCAAAAGAAAATTACATTAAAACTATGCTAAAGAACAGAAGAAAGGATTTCATCAAAAGGCCAGGAAGGAATGGAAAATAATAAAATCTTGTGGCTGCTCACAGCTTTGACACAGGTGGCTGTCGTTGGTCATCAAGTAAAAACACTTTCACAGGCTGGGTAAACAATTCTCTAAATCACATTCCAAAGCAGCAAAACATGGAGAAGCTGAAGCTTTTTCATAAAAATTTTCATAAAATATGTCTGTGACAGGACAGGGCTTGGATGGGAGTAGGGATGGGATGGGATGGGATGGGATGGGATGGGATGGGATGGGATGGGATGGGAGTAGGGATGGGATGGGAGCAGGGATCAGGGCTGGGAGCAGGGATCAGGGCTGGGATGGGAGCAGGGATCAGGGCTGGGACACCCCTGAACTCAGGCACTGGGCACATGGTTTGGCTTCAGGATCAAAGTATGGATGCAACCAAAAACCTGAAGGAAAGTTCTGGAGCATCCCAGCAGATCCCAGAGCTTTCCCAGAGTGATTTCTCACAATCTCCCCCTTCACCAGCACAAGGAACCCCTGATCCAGGGCAGGCAGGTACCATGAGGTGTTTTCCAGGTGTTTTTCCCCACACTCAGCCTGAGAGCTGCTGCCAGCCCAGGTTTCACCCAGACCTCTCAGACAAGGTGGAGACTCTTGGAGATGCCACTTTGTGCCCCTCAATCATGGAGTAGTTTGAAAGGGACCTCAAAGCCCATCCAGTGCCACCCCAGGGACACCTCCCATCATCCCAGGGGGCTGGGATGACTGAGCAGTCAGTCATGAGTTATTATTCATTCTTGTTAAACCTTCTGTCTGTATCCTTTCTCTATTCTTTAGTATAGTTTTAGTATAGCATTCTTTAATATAATATAATGATATTTATAATCATAAAATTATTTATAAACAGCCCTGTCCAGCCTGGACTTGGACATTTCCAGGGATCCAGGGGCAGCCCCAGCTGCTGTGGGCACCAAAACACCCTGGACTGATCCTGGGCCCAACCAGAGCCAGATTTATGCACCAAAATCAGCTCTAAATACCAAAAAACCCTTAATGAACACTACAACCAGCAGAGACACCAATTCCTTTGCTTCTCCACACCTGTCCCTCACCTTCTCCCCATCAAAGCTTCACCATTCCCTGACAGGCTTCACAGGGAAGTCATTAATCTAAAGTTGTCAAGTCCTTTCAGGCTCCTGACCTTTGCCACCAATGGATTTAACTCTTGCACAGCCACACTTTCCCTCTTCTCTTTGTTCCTGGATGGAAAATGCCACAGCAGCACGGCCAGAGCCAAGGAATGGGAGAGGCACACACTTCTAGGAAGCAAAGAGCTCTTCAGGTGGCACATTTTCAGCCAGGGGGTGCCTTGAGTCAATAGAAACCTTTTAATCCTCAGCACATTCCTGCTGTCCTTCCCCCCTGCACCATGCCACCCCACTGCAGGGCTGTGCCAAGCACAGTTAAGCCCTGTTAAACAGGGACATGACATCAGGATACTGTACACATTCCTCTGCCTGCACTGTACCAGGAAAAAATGTATGGCCAAGGGCTGGGAGAGCACCTGGGGAGGAGATTCCAGCCCCAAGGAATGATTTTGGGACAGAGTATCCAAGTTTCCATGTGCTGTTGGCCTTCCCCTCCAAAGGAAGTTGAATCCCATCAGGAATGGTCCCCCCACAGCAAAATTTAACACAAAAATGGGGTGAATAGCTTGGGGCTGTTTGGGAAAAGGTTTCCCAGCACTCAGAGGGAAGGAAGGGGAGGAGAGAGCAGCTCAGGAGCTGGAATGCCACACTTTGCAAAGGTCTGGTGTCTCATAACCCACCCAAAATAGAAGCAAACTCTATACACCAGCCTGGCTTCTCACCTCCCTCTTACCCCACCCAGTGCACGGGGTTTGGAGCTTTCCCACCCAAAAAGGAGCCTGAGGAGCAGCTCTGGGGGTCTGTGGGTGCTGCCTGCCCCCAGGGCACAGGGCACAGCCATTCCTGGAGGATCCTTGCTGCTCCCACTGCCCAGGGGATTTTTGGCACTGCCCCAGGACCAATATAGCAGCCCAGGAGCTGGGTGATTTTCATTCCTTCTAATATTACAAGCAGCAAGGCAAAAAAGAATGGTTGGATGCAGGGGAAGCAGTCTGGGTGGCATGTTGGGTTCTGCTGACTGGAGAAGGTCAGAGAATCCCTTCTACTCATCCTGGATCTCTGAAAAATCCTCTTGGCCCAGGATTCTTCTCCTGGGAAGCTGAGAAGCCTCAGAGAGAAATGAAAACAATAATTATCTGATTGCTGCTCCTGTGTTTGCTGCTCTGGAATGTGGTTTGGACACTGTTTATCAACTGATTATTGTTTGATTGGTTTCATGTGAATTGTTTTTAATTAATAACCAATCACCATCAGCTGTGTCAAACTGAGGAGTCAGTCATGAGTTTTTATTATTCATTCTTGTTAAACCTTCTGTCTGTATCCTTTCTCTATTCTTTAGTATAGTTTTAGTATAGCATTCTTTAATATAATATGATATTTATAATCATAAAATTATTTACAATCATAAAATAATCAATTAGCCTTCTAAGAACATGGAGTCAGGCTCATCTCATCCTGAGGAGGTGCAAATACCACATGGACCAGCCATGAAAACAGACCAGGCTCTGCTCCTCTGGAAGGGAAAAGCTTCAACTTTTCCAGAAAGCCCCAGAGGATGTGATGAAAAGGGCAGGAACACATGCAGGACTTGGCTCAGGAAGCCCTGAGCTCCCCCATTCCTTGCTCCAGGGGCAATCCTGACTCCAGCAGGACTCACCTCAATGTTGGTGGCATTTAGCTTCTCCTCCATGACCTGCTTCAGGATGACCAGGGAAGATTTGATGGCTTCCTTTAATGTCATGGACTGCAAAACAAATGGCTGATGGATGACAAGCTGCAGGCTCAGCCCCTGGCCCTCCCCTCTCCCAAATCCCCTGAGCCAGGCAGCCAAAGGAGCAGCTTAGCAAGGGATCTGCAGCATCCCTGGGAGCCTGGAGCAGGCAAGGCAGGGATATCCACAGGGACAGTGAAATCCTGCCTTTGTGAGGTTTAAAAATGGTTCATTTGGGCACACAAATCTGGTAAATTTAAAATGGTTTATCTGGGATAGGAGGGGCTGTTTCTCTTCACCAATTCCCTCTCAAAAAGCCAGATTCCCTCCAGGCAAAATCCTCCATGCTGCATTTAATCTGCTAAATCCCAGGCATCCCTAGAGCCAAAGGGATGTGCAGCACAGCTGTGTTTCACTAACTCTGCACTTGAAAAAGGGGTGACAATCCAGAGAGTCCAGGATTTTGGTAATTTGGAGAATTCTAGTGAACAAATGAGTCTTCCCAGCCACCACCACTAATTGTGCTTTTCATCAGGGTTTGGTTTCTTACCACCCAAAATGGGCAATTCTCTCATCATGGGGGAAAAAAATCCTATTTAATATCAAACATGAGCAGAACTTCCAGCACAAGAGCTGCTCCCTTCTCTGAAGGTGCTGCTGTGAGCTCAGGATGCTTCCAGCTGTACCCACACAGAGCCTGATGCTGACAGCAGCACCCAGAGCTCAGGTTTTATTTACAGAGAACTTCCTGACATGGCCTTAATTATCTCACAGGCAGAGAGCAGCTGCTGGTAGCAGCTCTCAGTAGTAGAGATCCTCAGCACCTACTCACAGAGTGATCCCGCTCTGAGCAGCTCAGGCCCCTCCTCTCCAACCCAGCCCTAAATCCTCACTGGGGAGGGAATGAGGGGATCCTGGGAGGTGGTGAGGTACCCCAGACCCACAGAGGTGACCCCCAACTCCAAATGCAGCCCTTACCTTGTGGTAAACCTCCTGCAGGGAGCTCTGGGCTCCCTCAGAGGCGGAGCCGATGGCTCTGGCATCGCACTGCACGAACGTCCCTGAGGGATCCATGTGGAACCTGTGGGGACATGGGGTCACTGCCTGCACCCCATCTGCACCCCATCCCACCCCAGGGCACCCCAGGGACTCTCCCACCAACCCCCAGAGTTCCCTGAACAGCTGGAGCTGGGATTCATTCCCAAGAGCTTCTGAGCTCTTTCCTCAGAGAACCATTTCCCTTTGGATTCCTCATCTTATCCTCATTTTTTTAAAATAAATTCAGCAAGTTTTTTTCCCTGACTGGTCTGGCTCTGCCAAGCCTTTCCCACTTCCAGTGGGGCCATTTGAAGCACTGAGTTCAGGTTACAGCTGCTCCAACACCTCCCCCAAGGAATGTCACATGGATTAAGTTACTGGTGGCTCTGCCGGTCCTTTAGGGAAAGGTACAAATACACTCAAGATAAGGAGAGCTTTAACACTTCCCTCCTCCCCTGGAAACCACATTTTTCATTAAAAAAGGCAAGGTTTTGGGGCAAATATGATGATTTTCCATGCCAAACAAGCAGGTGGGGCTCTGGAAAGCGTTTAACAGGATTAACAAACTTATCAGGGACATAATGGGATAAACCCAAGGAAAATCCAAGAATCGAGTCCTTAAAACAGCCTGGGAATTTTGCAGTGGAGGTTTGGTCTTTTCCCTGGATTAAGAGCAGAACTCACAGCTGGGGTCCCTTCTCATCCACCCCTCCGAAGAGCAGAGCGACACCGAACGGGCGGGACTGCAGGACAGAGGAAGGAATGCGTCAGACAAGGGGGGGACAGGGGGGTTCCCCAGCACCCCCCAATTCCTCCCAATCCCACCATGGCTCCTGGGTCAGCATCTTCCTCCCCAAACTGCAGGGCCAGGTTGGACACAGCCTGTGTGACACTCTCCACTGTCATGGTCTCGTTGTAGGTGAACCAGTGATTCTGCAGGAAAATCCAAATAAAAATTCCCATTAGCCCCATGTGCCCAAAATATCCCACCCCTGCATGGCTGAGGAGGGGGGACACAAGGATAAATTCCCTGTGGAACTCAGGGCACAGCCAGCTCCCCCATGGAAGCATCAGGGAGAGTGGGATGTACAAAAATCCACAGAAAATTGGATACCAAGGCTTGGGGTGCCAAGAGGGAAATGCAAGGCTGAAGGGATTTATCCCAATATCTGCTTTGGAAAGAATGTCTTACAGCTCTCCAGAGCATGGAAAAGTGCTGATAGGCAGGAGAAAAACCCAGGAAAATCCTTTGCAGCAGCACAGATTTGTACCTGGGACCTCCAAGCACCTGATGCATCCAGGAAATTTAAGGGGATAAAAAGAAAACCAATATATCCAATATTTTACCAGAACACTCAGACAGTCCCTACACTCCCAACAAGCCTCCAGCTCCCCACCAGCTTCTCTGATGGAATGATCTTCCCTTTCCCAGGATTTCCAGGAGTTCCTGGGATTTGTGCTGCTAATTTAAGAACAGAGATGTCAGATCTTACCTGAGTCTCCACTCTGGCCTTGTCAATTAAAGTCTTTGCATCAGCTATTAGGCCACTCATGGCACATCCTGCAAGGGAAAGGACAACCAGGAATCATTCCTGTCCCATTCCTGAGTCATTCCATCCATTATTTGGGATGTGTTTTCCTCCGAAATGCCCAAAACCACCAAGGGCTGCAGGGAGGAGCTGGTCCCTGAGTGGGAAGGTGGGGAAGGGATTTGTCCCCCTGTGCTGGGCACTGCTGAGGCCACACCTGGGAACAGTTCTGGGTTTCTCACAAGAAGGACAATGAGGAGCTGGAGCATGTACAGAGAGGGGAACAGGGCTGGGGAAGGGACTGGAGCACCAGGAATGGCTGAGGGAGCTGGGAAAGGGGCTCAGCCTGGAGAAAAGGAGGCTCAGGGGGAATTTCTTGCTGTGCACAACTCCTGACAGGAGGGGACAGCTGGGGGGTCAGGCTCTGCTCCCAGGACAAGATGGAACAGCCCCAGGCTGCACCAGGGCAGGCTCAGGTCAGATATTACATTATTTTTCCATGGTCAGACCCTGGCAAAGCTGCCCTGTGAACACTGGGGGAGTTCCCATCCCTGGAAGGGCTCAAAAAGTGAGGATGTGGCACTTTGGGGACATGATCAGTGGTGGCCTTGGCATGGTTGGACTCCATGACCTTAGAGGGCTTTTCCAGCCTTGAGGACTCTGTGGGATTGAACCAGATTTGCTCCAGAACAACCTGCTGGGAAGGACCCAGAGGCTGCAGGAATCCCAGCACAGATCCCATTCTGGGAGGAAGGGATTGCATCACAAGCTCTTGGGAGGAAGAAATTGGACTCTTGCCCATGGAGCAGCAACACAGGAATTTTGGAGGTTGCTCCTCCCATGCCCATGGAGCAGTGACACAGGAATTTTGGAGGTTTCCTGCCCTTCAGGGTGATATTTGGTCATGAGCTCATTGTGGGCTGCTCAGGGCATGGGTGGCACCAGTGATCCTGGAGAAACTGGCCCCAGCCAGGCCCACCACAATTCCCTGCCCTCCCAGCAGTAAATTTGGGATGAGTTTTCATAAGGAGGTTAGTGAGGAACGGGCAGTGCTTCAGCTGCCTCTTTCTGCTTCCTGGACTTCCCTTCTGCTGGCTTGGAGCCTGCAAAACCAGTGAGCAGGAGCTGGTGTGCACTGGGAGGGATGAGCATTCCTGGCAGCAACACAGCAATTTTGGAGGTTGCTCCTCCCATGCCCATGGAGCAGCAACACAGCAATTTTGGAGGTTTCCTGCCCTTCAGGGTGACATATTTGGTCATGAGCCCACTGTGGGCTACTCATGGCTCCAGGGTGGCATCAGTGGTCCTGGAGAAACTGGTTCCAGCCAAGCTCACAATTCCCTGCCCTCACAGCAGTAAATTTGGGATGAGTTTTCATGGGCAGGTTACTGAGGCAGGGGGATGGAGCTTCAGCTGCCCCTTTCTGCTTCCTGGAGCTCCTTCTGCTGCTTTGGAGCCTGCAAAACCAGTGAGCAGGAGCTGGTGTGCACTGGGAGGGATGAGCATTCCTGGCAGGGAGGGCTCATCCCAACACACAACTCCCCAGGTTGCCAAGGGATGGACTCTTCTCATAAATAATTCACAATTTAGGGGTGATCTGATGCACAGGGGTGAGTCCCTGCTCCATACCAATGTGGGAGTCGATCTCCACAATCTTCTCAATGCTGCTGGGCTCCATCAGGGGGGATGTGATCCTCTTCTCCACAGCCAGGCAAACTCCCTCTGAGGTCTGGATCCCAATGGCTGTGGAGCCAAGCTGCAAAACACCACCACAGGCTCCAGCTCACACCCATCTCACTGCTAACTCTGACTTATTTGCAGGTGTGTTAGTTTGGATTCAATTGTCACCCACACACAAACCCACTCAGGCTTGGCAAGGTGGATTTTCAAGCTTGTGGGGAGGGTGAAATCCATGGGATTCCCATGAGAACCCAGTGAGTCCCAGAAGGTCCCCCCTGAGCCTCCTTTTCCCCAGGCTGAGCCCCTTTCCCAGCTCCCTCAGCCCCTTCCCCAGCTGCACATCCTTCAAGCAACAGCACTTTGTGGAGCCTGCTGAGTGTAAAAGGCCCTGGGAATTCTCCTGTGCCAGAGGGAAAAGAGTTTTAAATTCTTTAAAACCTTCAAAGGTGAGAGAATTTCCCACATCAGTACAAATCCCTCTGCAGCTCTGGCTTGGGCACGTGGCTTTCCATAATCTCCTGTTCTCCCCTGAGTCCCAGGCAGCAATCCCACCCCAGGACTGCAGGACACCTCAGTGTCACCAGGGCCACAAGCACAGGGACAGACCCCAGGGGCTCCTGGCAGCCCTTGTCTGGATCCTGCTGTGATCCCACCTCAACTGCACCAACTCTCACCCTGAGCCCACAAATCCCTGCCTTGATCCCAACAGCCCCTACTTTGATCCTATCTTGGGCACACCAAGAGCTGCCTGGATCCCACCTTGATCCCACCAGCCCTGCCTGGATCCCACCATAGTCCTACCAATGCTCTTCTGGATTTTACCAGCCCCTAATCTGGATCTTACCAGCCCCTAATCTGCATCCTATTTAATCCCACCAGCCCCCACACTGGTCCTACTTTAACCCCACCAACTCCTAAACTCAATCCAGCCTTCATCTCACCAACAATTACCTTCATCCCACCTTGATCCCAACAGCCCTGTCTTGATCCCACCATGATCCTACCAATGCTTTTTGGATCTTACCAGCCCCTAATCTGCATCCCACTAGCCTTTATCTCAATCCTATTTAATCCCACCAATCCCTACACTGGTTCTACCTTAATCCCACCAACTCCTAAAGTCAATCCAGTCCTGATCCCACCAACAATTACCTTCATCCCACCTTGATCCTACCAATTCAGCCCCTAATCTGGATCCCACCAGCCCTTACCTCAATCATATTTAATCCCACTAACCCCTACATTGGTCCTACCTTAACCCCACCAGCTCTGCCTTGATCCCACCATGATCTTACTCATGCTTTTTGGATTCCACCAGACCCTAATATGGATTTTACCAGCCTTTACCTCAATCCTATTTAATCCCACCAAACCCCACACTGGTCCTACCTTAACCTCACCAACTCCTAAACCTGACTCGGCCTTAATCCCACCAACAATTACCTTCATCCCACCAGCCTTGCCTTGATCCTACCAAGTTTTTCTGGATCTTACCAGCCCCTAATCTGCATTTTACCAGCCCCAATCTGGATCCCACCAGCCCTTACCTCAATCCTATTTAATTCCACCAACCTCCACACTGGTCCTACCATAACCCCACCAACTCCTAAACTCAATCTAGTCTTGATCCCACCAACAATTAATTACCTTGATCGCACCATGATCCTACCAATGATTTTGTGGATTTTATCAGCCCCCAATCTGGATTTTACCAGCCCCTAATCTGGATTCTATTTAATCCCACCAACCTCCACACTGATCCTACCTTAACCCCAAACCCCACCAGCTCCTAAACTCGACCCAGCCTTGATCCCACCCACAATTACCTTGATCCCACCTTCATCCCACCCTGCTCCCACCAGCCCTGCCTGGATCCCAGCCTGCTCCCAGCCCTCCCACCCCAGGGAATTTTCTGGCACAACTGTCCCAGCTGCAGTGTGCAATGCTCCCTCCCAACACCCACTTCAAGGCATGGGGTTTAATTTTAACCCCAAGATTCCCTGGAAAGCTGCACCTACAGCCACAGGCATGGCAGGAGATCTGTTTCAATTAATCAAGCCAGCATGGCCACCAACATCCCCCTGGGAGCTTTAATTCCCAAGTCCTTGATACTTGTATTACTTTTTCTGTTACATTATTACCTTATTCTCCTTTTTAGTGCTCCAAGGAGCCAAAGGAACACAAGCAATATGAAGTCAGGACTCTTCTCCTTGATTTAAACACCTCAGAGCTTTTTTCCCTCCTCTTCTCGCCCTGTTCAAACACCTCAGAGCTTTTTCCCCCTCATCACCTGACCTTTTTTTCCAAATTTAAACTTATTGCAAATCAACACTCACATTCTGTCACTGTAACAAACAGGAATATTTATCAATTAAGGACATTTATCAATTAAGGATGTTTAATCCCCAAAGGCCATTTGGCCCTGCAAAGGTGGGTTTGCTCCTAACAATCTTCAGTTTACATTTAAATCCACCCAAGAAGTGGTTTGGGTTTGATTTGGGGATAAACAGCTTTGGATTGCATTTTTGGGGGAGTAAATCACTTGGTAGGACAGGGGAGGGAACATTCAACTGAATTTTGGGGGAAATCAATGGGTTTTGGTCCTTCCTGACCCATAAAAGAGCAGAACTGTGGGATGTTTGGCTGGAGGAAACAGACCCAGTCTGGATTAGTCCTTGTGGGTTCTTTGTTTCTTTTTCGTTTAATTTTTTTTGCGGATGGGATTGAAGGTACTTGAGATGATAGTTTGTGTTCAGATTTAGGAATTCATTGTTTCTTATCAATGTTACAGTCTCACAGCTGTGAGTTTTGTAGTTTTTCATTAGTAAGGTACAAAATGGTTAACTATCTCTTGTTGTAAGGTCTTTTAAGGTTAAACTATCTAATTAAGAAATTATACTTAAATTAATTTCTCTTGCAACTTAATAATTGATTTCTTGAAGCCTGCAGTGTGGGCTTTTCTGTTTAATTAAAAAATACCACTCAAATCTATGAAGAAGAAGGAAGAAGGTAAAGGAGAACAATTTTTTCCACTCTAAAACTTCTATTTTGCTTTATATTTATTACTATATTTTAAAACCCCAAACTTTAAGTTTTCTATTCTGTGATATTACACACTTCTAATTAACTACACCCTCATAATTCCAGTGCTATTAATCCATTTTGGAAACCTGCTTTACAGCCTCAGGTCAAATACAGTGTTCTCTTGTGGATCTGCGCCTTTCAGCACAAAAAATTTAAAATTCTCAGCATCCAGGGTTCCAACAAGTCCTGAGCAATCCCTGCATGGGGTTGGAAGGAGATTTGGAAAGGAAATTTTGAAGGAAATTTTTGAGGGAAACTCGGGAAATCTCTGAGGGAAATCTCTGAGGGGAAACTTGGGAAATCCCTGAGGGGGGAAAAATTGGGAAATCCCTGAGGGGGGAAAAATTGGGAAATCCCTGAGGGGGGAAAAATTGGGAAATCCCTGAGGGGGGAAAAATCGGGAAAATCCCTGAGGGGGAAAAAATCGGGAAAATCCTTGAGGGGGAAAAAATCGGGAAAATCCTTGAGGGGGAAAAAATCGGGAAAATCCTTGAGGGGGGGAAACTCGGGAAAATCCTTGAGGTTGGAGAAACTCGGGGAAAATCCTGAGGGGGGAAACTCGGGGAAAATCCTGAGGGGGGAAACTCGGGGAAAATCCTGAGGGGGGGAAACTCGGGAAAATCCTGAGGGGGGGGAAACTCGGGAAAATCCTGAGGGGGGGGAAACTCGGGAAATCCCTGAGGGGGAAACTTGGGAAATCCCTGAGGGGGAAACTTGGGAAATCCCTCAGGGGGAAACTTGGGAAATCCCTGAGGGGAACTCTGAAGGAAACTTTTTAAAAATACCTTTATGGCCTCGATGGCATATTCCACCTGGAAGAGCCTCCCCTCTGGAGAGAAGGTGTTCACACCCCTGCAAGAAGAACACACAGTGAGAAGGTCAGGAAACCAAAATCTTGCTCAGGGGTGAGGCCACCGGGGCACAGGTGGGGCGGGGGACACAGGGACATGTCCACAGCCCCGGGGTGGTCATGGACCCAAGGAGAGCCAGCAGGTCAAGGCACAGGTGAGAAGCAGGTGGGGTGTCCTGGAACACTTTGGAATGAAAAGGGTGAACCAGGAGCCAGACAGGTCCTGTTTGAGCATGGGATCCTGGAATCTTTGAGAGTGGAAAAGTCCTTGGAGAGTGGAAAAGCCCCTTGAGAGTGGAAAAGTTTTTTGTAATCACGGAGTCCAGCCTCTCCCCCAGCCCTGCCAAGGACACCCCGCACCCCTGTCCCCAGGTGCCACCTCCACGTGGTTTTTGAGCCATTCCAGGAATAAGGACTCCGCCACCACCTCAGGCAGTCTGTGTGAGGGCTGGACAGCCCTTTCCATGAAAATATTCCCAACATCCAAACTAAATAACCCTGGCCCAGTCTGAGGCCGTTCCTCTCCTCCTGTCCCGGTTCCCTGGAGCACAACCCGACCCCCCCCGGCTGTGCCCTCCTGTCAGGAGCTGTGCAGAGCCACAAGGTCTCCCCTGAGCCTCCTTTTCTCCCGGCTGAGCCCCTTTCCTGCTCCCTCAGCCGCTCCCGGTGCTCCGTTCCCTTCCCAGCCCCGCCGCTCCCCACCGGGTACGCTCCCATCCCCGGGTACCGCATCCCCGCACACCACGAGCTCCCCTCGCCCTCAGTCTGTCCCATCCCGGCATCCCCGGTCCCGCGGCAGGGCTCGGCAGCTCCCGGTGCGATCCCAGCGCGGGAGCCGCCGGTGGGGGCGGCCCGGACCGCTCGGGCCCAGGCCCGTGACTCAGCCGCGGCCTGGGCGGCACTCACCGGTCGTACTCGGAGCGCGTGAGGAACATGGCGACAGCAGGGCCGGGCGGTGCCGGCGGATCCCGGGGGCTCCGGAGGGGCCGGGAGGGCTCGAGGGGTCCGGGGGCACCGGGAGCGCCGCGGCCTCACCGGGGGCTGCAACGCCGCTTCCGGCCCCGAGCGGCACTTCCGCCCGCGCCGCCCGCTCATTGGACAGCGGCGCTGCGGGCCGGCCAATGGGAGCGTGGGGAGGACGGGATCAGTGCGCAAGGGAGGGGCGGGGCCGGGATTGGGCGGTGGGCGGGGCTAGCGCGCGATGGGCGTGGCCTGAGCTTCTGGGGCGTGGTCAAATCTCTAGGGCGTCGATGGGGGCGTGGTCTGAGGGGAGGGGGCTAGGCCAGAGCGGGAGCCGGGCGAGCTCTGAGGGGCGTAGTCATAGAGGGGGCGTGGTTATAGTGCCAGGGGCGGGGCCAGAGCAGCAGGGGGCGGGGCCTGCGGCGGGCACGGCGCGGTGCCGGGAGGGCTTCCCGGGAATGGGGAACCGGGACTGGGGGTTCGGGAAGGGGTCGGGGAGGCGGCACCAGGAATGGGATACTGAGAAGGGGGCACCGGCAAGAAGCTTCGGGAGGCGGTGTGGGGAAGGGGCTCCGGGACGGACGGGAATACGGGGAGGAGGTACCGGGAGGGGCTGTACGCCCCTGCTCCCCGGGCCATACCGGCACCCCGATGCCCGGTACACGGTGCCACGCCGCCAGCCTTCTTGCCGGCCCCGGTAGCGTTCCCCAGCGGAATTCCCGCCGCGTTCCAGCGCTCCCCGTTCCCGGTCCGATGCACGGCCGGACCCCCCCCGGGGGGCGCTGCGCTGCCCGGCGGGCCCGGGGGCGGCCCGGGGCAGGGGGCTGGCCCGGGCCCGGCCCAGGGGCGCTGCCGGGGGCGGGGCTGTGCTGCCCGCCCCGGGGGCGCTGCGCTGCCCGGTGGCGGCTCCCCCAGCGGAGCCGTCCCAGCGGGCGGCGGAGGCAGCACCGACCGCCCCCGGCCCGGCCATGTCGGAGCCCGGCGCCCCCGCGGCCGGTGATAAACCGCCCCGGCTCCAGGTAGGGCTCCGGTGCGTTCCCCCCTCCCGGTGACCGCGGCAGGCTCCCGGTGCAGCCCCTCGGTGTCCCGGCACTGTTGCTCGAGGCACCTCCCGGTGCCCCGCGGTGTCCCGGAGGAGTCCGTGGTGTTCCAGTGCCGATCCCCGGAGCAGCGCACACTGTCCCGTTGTAGCCGCCGGTGCGAGCTCCGGTGCCGCGGTGCACCCTCCGCTGCTCTGGTGCCGCGGCCGATGCCGTTCCCCGGTCCCCCAGGGCAGCCCCTGCCCGAGGCAGTCCCGTTGCATCCCCCTCGTTTCCCCGGGGCAGCTCCCCGGTTCCCCGGTGCGGCCCCTCCGGTTCTGCGGGGCAATCCCCCCGGTTTCCCGGAGTAGACCCCACTCCACCGAGACAACCCCCAGCCCGGAGCAGGGCCCTTTGCAGTCTCCTGATCTCCTCCCGTGCCGGGGCAATCCCGCTATGGCAAAGCGGGGTGGCGCCCCATCCCCCGGTGCTGTCCCGATGTTGTCCCGGTATTGACCCGGTGCCGTCCCGGTGCTCCCGCCGCTCTCTCCTGCAGGACCGCGTCCTTCGAGGGCTGCGCTGGGGCCGCCTCCAGGAGCCGCTGGGTTTCATCAAGGTGCTGGAATGGGTGAGTGACCCCCGTGTGTCCCCCCAGACCCCCCGTCACAGCCCCTTCCCAGCACTGCTGCTCCCCACAGCCCGCAGTCCCCCCACATTTGGGGGGCTCCATTCCTTCCTGAAGGAATCCCAGAGCCCCCAGAGCTTCCTGCACCCCATCAGCAGCGGGGGGGAGGCCTCATTTTGGGGGCTCCGGGGGAAGGGGGGAGCAGGGCCACACGGGTTCGGGCCGCCAGCCCCTCCCGGTGACCTTGAGCAGGTGGCTGTGCCCAGCCATGCCAAGGGGACGGTGACATCGGGGTGCCGGGTCCCTGCCGCTGCTAGGGGCTCAGGGGGCACTGGGGGGGGTGTGGGGGTGTGTGGGGAGGGGACTGAGGGTCAGTGAGCCCCAGCAAGGGGGACCCTGGGGACAGGGGGGCAGCCAAGCGCCCGCGGCTCTGTCCTGTGCTGGCGGTGCCATGAATGGCTCCTGGCAGATTGGGTTTCAGGGTGGCATTTCTGCAGCTCGGCCTCGCCAGGGCCGGGGGGCTCCCGGAGGGAACTGAGGTACAGGGGGGGCTCAGCTCTCTTTGGGCATCTCCCACCTGGAGAAGGCAGCTTGAGGGGCTTTCCCCAATCCTACAGCTCTTTGGTTGGCACAATCCCACCCACGGGGGCTCTGGGCTCCCCCTGCCATTGGGGCCACCATATGGGATCAGACCCCATGTGCAAAGACAGCCCAAAAACAAAAATGAGAAAATCCCTGGAGGATCCACTGAAATCCCTGCTTACACCCTCAGTGCCACACACGGGCTGCCCATCCCTGCAGGGGATTATTCATCAGTATTTCTGAATCAATTCCATTTAAAACTCCCAGTCTCATCCCTAATATCCCAGTTAGATCCTTTCTTATTCTGCTCCTGAGGTGTACCTGTCTTTGTAACTACATTGTCCAGCCCTCAAAGGATGTTCTTAGGAAGGAGGAGCAGGCTGGTTGGATTTTTGAGATGTTAATTTGCATTAACAACGTTTGAGAGACCATTCTGGATTGAACAATAGGTGTTGTTCACTCACATTCCTCACTACATAGGGGCTTATTTCATACACCTCAGGTTCAAGTTTGGGTTGAGTTGAACTATTTGAGTCCTGGTGATGGTTGTATAAAGTCCTGCTGTTGTAAAAAGTGCAGTGTCTATTTTAAATTTCAATGATCCCCCATTTCACCTGGGAGGATTGGGAGCTCAGCCAGGAGGAGCTGTGGGAAAACCCTTTGGGAATGGTGTTTCCCAGCACCCTCATCCAAGAGATGAAAGCAGTGGGACTCCAACGGCAAGGGAGGGCGGTGCTGGCTCCTGGGGAGGGGACAGCTCTGGGGGTGCCACCATGGGGATTATCCCAGCTGGCTGGACACCCACTCTGGCACTCAGTATCTGCCCAGAATTAAAGGGGGATGGGGGTGGGATTGGCCTTGGTGTCCCCACCCCCCCAAACATGACCCCACCCTCAAATCCCAGTGCCATTGGAATCCCAGTGCTGGAGGGAAGCCCTGAGGCCAGCCCCTGGGGGGGGCAGCTTGCCCATTACTGAGTGCCAGGGGATGCAGCCTGCTCCCCAAGGATGAAAGGGCCCCCAGAGCTCACCCTCTGACCCATCACCGTCTCCTGTAGCTCTTTGCCATCTTCGCCTTCGGCTCCTGCGGCTCCTTCAGCGGCGAGACCGGAGCCACAGTGAAATGTGAAGGTGGAGGGATGACAGCCATCAGCATCCAGTTCGGGTACCCCTTCAGGTGAGGGGTGCTGAGCCCCCCAGGCTGCCCCACACAGGCTGGGGGTGCTGGGCTGGGTTAGATTCCCTTCCTGCTGGCAGGACCTCCATGGGACCACAGCCGTGGTCTCTGCAGTGCCGTGTTCAGCTGGGAACCACCCACACCCTGACCCCATGGGACATCCCCTGGCATCCCTGCCACTTCCTGACACCACCCAGGGGGATTCTTGTTAATCACAAAGGACTGGGTGGGGAAGGAGGGAAATTCTCAGTACTCGGGGAAGTCCACGGGAATCCTGATTTATGTGGGAAGGCAATGATGGAGTTGGGCCAGATGAGAGTCACAGTTCCAACCCCTTTCCTCTGCTGCCAGCCCCATGCCAGGGCACTAGATCATGGAAAAGAATCCAGGTTATGGCAGTGGATCTGTGCCCTTCATTCCCAGGGGACCACCCCATGCTGGTGATTCTGGACATCCCTGTCACCATCTCCATTCCCAGGGGACCACCTCATGCTGGTTATTCTGGACATCCCTGTCACCATCTCCATTCCCAGGGGACCACCTCATGCTGGTTATTCTATCCATCCCCATCATACCTTCCATTCCCAGGGGACCACCCCATCCTGGTTATTCTGGACATCCCTGTCACTATCTCCAGTCCCAGGGGACCGCCTCAGCCTGGTTATTGTAGCCATCACCATCAAACCTTCCATTCCCAGGGGGTCACTGCAGCACTTACTCCATCCATCCCTCCCATCCCAGGGGTCTAGCCCATCTTGATTATTCTAGCCATCCTTGTCACCATCTCCATTCCCAGGGGACCGCCCCAGCACTTCATCCATCCATCCATCCATCCATCCATCCATCATCCATCCGTCCATCCATCCATCCATCCATCCATCCATCCATCCATCATCCATCCGTCCATCCATCCATGCATCCATCCATCCATCCATCCATCATCCATCCATCCATCCATCCATCCATCCATCCATCCATCCATCATCCCTCCGTCCATCCATCCATCCATCCATCCATCCATCCATCCATCATCCGTCCATCCATCCATCCATCCATCCATCCATCCATCCATCCATCTCTCCATTCCCAGGGGACACCCTATCCTGGTTATTCTATCCATCCCTGTCACCACCACCATTCCCAAAAAACCACCCCAGCACTTACTCCATCCATCCCTAGATTCCCAGGGGACCACCCCAGCCTGGTTATTCTATCCATCCCCATCATCATCTCCATCCCCCCCTGACCCCCTCCCTGTCCCCCAGGTTATACCAGATTCCCTTTGGGATGCCCAACTGTGAGGATGAATCAGAAGCCCGCACCCTGTACCTCGTGGGCGATTTCTCCGCTCCCGCCGAGTTTTTCGTGACCCTGGGGGTCTTCTCCTTCCTCTACTCCATGGCTGCTCTGGTGCTCTACCTCCGCTTCCATTCCCTGTACACGGAGAACACGAAGCTCCCGTTCACAGTAAGGCAGGCTCACCCCGGGGCACGCGAGCCCAGCGCCGTGCCAGGGTGCCAGCTGATGCCAGGCTCTCGTCCTGGCAGGATTTCTGTGTCACCGTCTGCTTTGCCTTCTTCTGGCTGGTGGCGGCGGCGGCGTGGGGCAAGGGGCTGAGCGACGTGAAGGCGGCCACGCGCCCCTCGGCCCTCATCGCTGCCATGGCCGTGTGCCAGGCCGATGGTGTGCTCTGCAACGCTGGCACCACGCCCGCCATGGGGCTGGCCAACATCTCGGTGGTGAGGGCACGGGGGCACGCACAGGGGCATAGACATGGGCACACGTGGGCACACACAGGGGCATAGACATGGGCAGACATGGGCACACACAGGTACGCACCCCGGCATAGACATGGGCACACACATGGGGGCACACAGGAGCACACACATGGGCACACACAGGGGCATACACACAGGCACACATGGGCACACACACATGGGCACACACACACAGGCATATACATGGGCACACACGGGCATGCAGGAGGGGGCACATATGGGCACACAGGGGCACACACACACAGGCACACACACGGGCATGCTCAGGGACACACAGGGGCACACAGGCACTCACAGGCACACAGGGGCACACACAGGGGCACACACATGGGCATGCACATGGACACACATACATGGGCACACACACATGGGCACATACATGGGACACAGCCACACATACATGGGCACACATGGGCACACAGGAGCACACACATGGGCACATGCACAGACAAACACATGGGCACACACAGGCACACACAGGCACAAACGTGCGCAGAGGGACACACGCAGAGACACACACATGGGCACACACATGGGCACACACGGACACACACATGGGCACATACATGGGCACACATATGGGCACACCCAGGTGCACACAAGTATACACTCACACATTCAGCCACACCTGTGCCAGATTCCTGAGCTCAGCCAGGAGAGGGCAGTGGCAGTGCGGGCACACAGCTGAAAATATGGGCACAGCATGGAAATGTGGGTGAAAACATTACACAGTCACCTGCCTTGGTCCCATGGGATGGGGGATCCACACTGCATCCCCCACACTGGGATCCTGGTACTGGAAATGGGCACTCTGCACTGGGAATGGGCACTCTGCACTGGGATCCTGGCACTGGGATTGGGGCACCTTGTACTGGGATCCTGGCACTGGAAACGGGCACCCAGCCATCAGGGAGTGCCAGGATGGGGTGGGAGGTGGTGGTGCAGTCCCTGGCATTGGGGTTTGGGATGTGTGGGGTGCATGATGTCCATGGAGGCATGGGGTATATGAGGTGCTTGAGGGGCTTATGGGGTGAAGTGGGGTGCATGGGGTGCATCTGCATGGGGGTTGCACGGTGCACATGGGGTGCATGGGGCATACAGGGCCCATGGGGTGCACAGCTTGCATGGCACATTGGGGCACATGGGGTGCATAAAGTACCTGGGGTGCGTGGGTGGGGAGTATGGGGTGTGTGGGGCACAGGGCATGGGTTACACTTGGGGCATGTGGGGTGCCTGGAGCACAGTGGGGGGCATGGGATGTATGGGAATTATGGCAGGTATGGGGTGTGTGGGGCACACACCATGCATGCAGTGTATGGAATTTATGGGAAGTATAGGGTGTATGGGGTGTATGGAATGCATGGGAAGTTTGGGGTGCATGGGGTGTATAGGGCACACACTATATACAGGCTGCATGCAGTGTATGGAATGTATGGGAAGTTTGGGGTGTATGGGGGGCACAGGGCCCACACGATGCACAGGGTTCATGGTGTGTATGGAATGTATGGAAAGTTTGGGGTTCATGGGGTGCACAGGGCACACACGATGCACAAGGTTCCTGGGGTGCTCGGAGCTCATGGGGCGCACAGGGTGTGTGTGGGGTGCTGTGCTCCCCTAAGGCCGCCCTGTGGGACCCTCTCCCTTTTTCTCTGTCCTCTCCCCTCTCCCCTTTCCTCTCCTGCAGCTCTTCGGGTTCCTCAACTTCCTGCTGTGGGCCGGGAACTGCTGGTTCGTGCTGCGGGAGACGCCGTGGCTGCGGCCGCCCGCGTCCCGCGACAGCGCGGCCGAGCAGGGCGCCATCGACAAGCAGTGACCGGGGGGACCCAGCCCGGGGGGACCCAGCCCGGGACCCCGCCCGGCCCCCGGGACCTCGCGCCGGCCGCCAGCCCGGGGACCGGGTGTCGCTGTCCCCGCGTTGGAGCCGCCGGGGGTTCGGATGCTGCAGGGGGACACGGAGTCCCGGGGGTCCCGCTCGGTGTCGGGGGCTCCGTGTGTCACCCCGGGGTCCGTGTCTGTGTGGGGCGCATAAAGTCCTGGCTACCAGCTGCGCACTGGGGCTCCTGTGTCTGCCTCGATGGGGAGCTGAGCGCACCCCCGGGTGGGGCACGACCCCCAGTCAACACAGGGATAAACCTGTCCCATCTCTGGTATAGGGTGAGCTGTGGGTCCCAGATCAGTATTGGGCTGATAGAGGGTGCCAGACAGGTCACAGAGGACCCCAGACCAGTAAAAGGATAATCAGGAAATCCAGTCTGGTATTGGGATAATATTGGGAGCACCAGTCCAGTATAGGGACAATCAGGAACCCCAGTCCAGTGTTGGGATAATATTGGGAGCACCAGTCCTGTATAGGAATAATCAGGAACCCTAGTCCAGTAAAAGGATAATCAGAAACCCCAGTGCAGTATTGGGATAACATTGGGAGCACCACTTCAGTATAGGGATAATCAGGAACCCCAGTTCAGTATAGGGACAATCAGGAGCCCCAGTCCGGTATTAGGATAATATTGGGAGCACTAGTCCAGTATAGGGATAATCAGGAACCCCAGTCCGGTATTAGGATAATATTGGGAGCACCACTCCAGTATAGGGACAATCAGGAACCCCAGTTTGGTATTGGGATAATATTGGGAGCACCAGTCCTGTATAGGGATCACCTGAAACCCCAGTCTGGAATGGGAATAATGGCAGGGAGTCCCAGCTCCATACAGGGATAATAGGGAACCCCACACCAGTGGTACAGGCATAACGGGGGTCCCCAGCCCCACGCAGGAATAACCTGGAACCTCAGCCTTGTATGGCAATACCCTGGGCTCATAGCCCAGTATAGAAGTAATTGTACCAGATCCCAGGCCCTTATAGGAATAACTGGTGTTCTAAGTCTGTTATGGGGACAACAGGGAACCACAAATGAGTATAGGGATACCGAGTGCCCTTAACCTGTTATAGGGAAGCCCCATCCCCGTACATGGGTGATAGGAGACCCCAGACCCTTATGGGAATAACTGGGATTCTGGGTCTGGTATGGAGACAAGAGGGAACCCCAACTGAGTATAGGGATACTGAGTGCCCCTAACCTGCTATAGGGATAACAGGTACCCCCATCCCCGTACAGGGAGAACAGGAGACCCCAGCCCGTTTTAGGAATAACTGGGGTTCTGGGTCTGTTGTGGGGTCAACAGAGAACTCCAACCCAGTATAAGGATGCTGAATGTTCCCAACTTGTTATAGGGATACTGGGTACCCCCAAGCTGTTATAGGGATACCGAGTGCCCCTAACCTGTTATAGGGATACCGGGTACCCCTAAACTGTTACAGGGATACCAGGTACCCCTAACCTGTTATAGGGATACTGGGTACCCCCATCCACATATAGGGATAACAAGAGATTCCAGCCCCTTTTAGGAATAACTGGGATTCTGGGTCCTGTATGGGGACAACAGGGAACCCCAACTGAATACAGGGATACTGAGTGCCCCTAACCTGTTATGGGGAAACTGGGTACCCCCATCCCAGTATAGGGATACCAAGTGCCCCCATCTCTGTATAGGGATAACAGGACACCCCAGCCCCTTATAGGAATAACTGGGGTTCTGGGTCTGATATGGGGACAACAGGGAACTCCAACCTCTAATAGGGATACTGAGTGCCCCTAACCTGTTAGAGGGATACCAGCTACCCCCAGCACGTTATAGGGATACCGGGAAACCCCATCCCCGTACAGGGGTGACAGGAGACTCCAGCCCCTTAAGGGAATAAATGGGATTCTGGGTCTGGTATGCGGATAACAGGGAACCCCAATTGAGTATAGGGACACTGAGTGCCCCTAATCTGTTACAGGGATGATGAGTGCCCATAACCTGTTATAGGGATACAGGGTACACCCATGCCCATATATCCCCCACCCCCATCTCCATCCAGGGATAACAGGAGACCTTAGCCCCTTATAGGAATAACTGGAGTTCTGGGTCTGGTATGTTGACAAGAGGGAACTCCAACTGAGTATAGGGATAACGAGTGCCCCTAACCTGTTATAGGAATACTGAGTGCCCTGAACTGTTATAGGGATACCGGTTACCCCTAACCTGTTATAGGGATACCGGGTACCCCCACCCCCGTACAGGGGCACCGGGTGCCCCTAACCTGTTATAGGGATACCGGGTACCCCAATCCCCATGCAGGGACACCGGGTACCCCCATTCCCGTACAGAGATCCCGGGTACCCCATCCGCGTGCAGGGATAACAGCAGACCCCAGCCCGGTGCAGGGCTCACTGGGGACCCTCGGCAGTGCCGGTACCGGCTGTCCCCAGCTCGGGGGGGTATAGCGGGTCGGCAGCCGGGGTCGGGCCGGGCGGGGGTCGCTCCGGGACTACCGTGCCCGTGGTGCCGCGGGGCGGGCGGGGCGCGCGGCGCATGCGCGGGGCGGGGGCGGCGCGGGGGGGGGCGGCGGTGCCGCGGCGGCGGCGGCGGCGATGGCGGCGGAGCGGCGGCCGGTGCCCGGCCTGGACGAGTTCGCGGGGCAGAGCTGGAGCGCCTGGCTGGAGCGGGCCGGGCCGCCCGCCGACACCGGTGAGGGCGGCGGCGGCGGGGGGGGCTTCGCGACCGGGGCCGCGCCCGCCGACCCCCGGTCCGAGCGCCGCCGCGCGGCGGGCGGGCAACGGCACCGGGAGAGGGGAGTCCGGCACCGGGAAGCGGCAGCAGGGCATCCCGCACCGGGCAATGGGAACGGGGCATCCTGCGCTGGGAACCGCCAACGGAGCATCCTCCACCGGGCGCTGGGAACCGAGAGGCGCAGGTTCTGCACCGGCTCGTTCTGCTCTGGGAACGGGGCATCGGGAACGGGGCATCCTGCGCTGGACAGTGGGAAACGGGGCACTGGGAACCCGGTAACTGGGCATCGAGACCTGGCAGCCTGACCTCCAGTGCCGGGAGCTGGACGCACAGCAGAGGGTGCCGGGTCTGGGTGCCCAGGGCAGGATTCCCAGTGCCCAGTTTGTGGTGCAGGTTGTCCTGGCATGTCCTAGGATGCTCCTGGCACTGGGAACTGGACACCTGGAATGAAGCATCCTGTACCAGCACCTGGCACTGGGAACAGGGCAGCCAGACCTGGCACCCTGCGCTGGGAATCAGATAGTGGGAATGGGCACCTTGTACTGGGATCCTGGCACTGGGAATGGGCACCCTGCACTGGGAATCGGACACTGGGAATGGGCACCCTGCACTGGGATCCTGGCACTGGGAACAGGGCACTCTGTGGGAAACTGGCACTGGGAATGGGCACCTTGTACCGGGATTCTGGCACTGGGAATGGGCACTCTGCACTGGGAAACTGGCACTGGGAATGGGCACCCTGCACTGGGAATCAGACACTGGGAAGGGGCACCCTGCACTGGGATCCTGGCACTGGGAATGGGCACCCTGCACTGGGAATGGGCACCCTGAATTGGGAATGGGCACCCTGCACTGGTAAACAGACACTGTGAATGGGCACCTTGTACTGGGATCCTGGTACTGGAAATGGGCACCCTGCACTGGGAAACTGGCACTGGGAATGGGCACCTTGTACTGGAAACTGGTACTGGGAATGAGCACCCTGCAGTGGGATCCTGGCACTGGGAATGGGCACCCTGCACTGGGAACCAGACACTGGGAATGGGCACCTTGTACTGGGAACCAGACACTGGGAGTGGGCACCCTGCACTGGAAGCCTGGCACTGGGAATGGGGCACCTTGTCCTGGGCATCTGGAATCTGTTACTGGGATCCAGATCTGACAGCCAGCACTGGGAACTGGGCACCCAGCACTGGTGACCACACACTGGGAATGTGGCACCCTGCACTGGCATCCTGGCACTGGGAATGGGCACCCTGCATTGGGAATGTGGCATCCTGCACCAGAACATGCAGAAACAGGAATGGGGCACCCAGCCCTGGGCACCAGACAGTGGGAATAGGATATCCTGCAATGGGTACCTGGCACCAGGAACTGGGCACTGGGAACCTTATAATGGGCATCCAGACCTGGCACCCAGTACTGAGCTCTGGGAACTGGGAATGGGCACTTCCCGCACTGGGAATGTGGCACCAGGAACTGGGACTGGGAACCTGGCACTGCACAGCCAGACATAGCACCTGGTACCAGGAACTGGGCACTCAGCAGTGGGCACAGGGCATCCTGTACTGGGCACTCAGCTCTGAGAACTGTCATGGGGCATCCTACAAAAGTTCCCTAAACACTAGGAACCTTGCACTGGACACTGGGCACCAGGAACTGGGCACCTGGAACTGGGCACCCTGTGCTTGCACTGGGAACTGGGCACTAGGGAGTCACACTGGGCACACTGGGGATTCAGGAACTGGGCAGCAGGACCTCTGCTCTAGGAACTGGGCACCAACGTGGCACCAGGCAGCCCAGGCAGCCCACTGGGAGTCCTGTGCCCGTTACTGGGTGCCCCATCTTGGATTCCAGTGGAGTCCAGTGGGCACTGGTGGGAGCAGAGCAGTAACTGGAGAGCCTGGACTGGGAATTAGTTGCCATCATTACTCCAGACCAGACTGGAGGTACTGGGAGCCCCAGGTGGGGCACTGGGATATCCTGCTCTGGGAACTGGGCAGGGCACACTGGGAGCCAGGTGCTCCTTACTGGGAGGGTACCAGTGAGCTCTGAGCACTGGGACTGGCTGGGCACCAGTCATGGTGCATCTGAATGGGTCTGGGTGCCCAGCATGGCACAGCTAGATGGCACTGGGCACCCAGTATGGCATGGCCAGGCAGGCAGGGCTGGTTACCCAGTATGGCACAGCTAGATGGCA